GTCTTGAAATGACCCAATGACTAGTCATTTGTCATTTGAGTCATTTGGGTCATTTCAGGTCATTTACCATCACTGTTTCACACCGCGTGTAAAATCAGTTGTGTAACATCAACGTTTCCTCCTGTTCGTTTTATTATGAACTGTGAATATCAGATTGCATGATTGTGTAACGGATCTTACAATCTACAAAAGGGACGTCCTTACGTACGTACGTTAAACCGGCATTGTCATAGGGATCTTAAAGATAATACAATATGATAGTACTGATTTAACGTAAATTATGGATGTCCCCAAATTTAAAAGAAATAAAACCTAACTTCAAAATCATAAACCAAAACTCCGTATAGATAAAACAGAAAAGTTCACGTTATAATTGGCTGCGCGAAATTTGTATTTTTTGGTAGAGACAGGCACGAAAATTTTTCGCGTTTACTAATTCCCCACCACTTCACATTGGACAAATACAAATTGGACGAAACCAATTACATCACTAATCAGAATGGCTACAAATTTTGCAATGATTACATATTGTTTTTAAAAAATAATTTTTTTCGCTATTTAATACTAACGTTTTGTTCTTTTGAGTTTATTGTATTGTGCAAAAATTTTCAATTGATATAATCATACTTACTTTAATCATACTACCATACGAAAATCTGAAAACAAAATAAGTATTTTTTTTTTTTTTTTTGTTTGTAGGGTATGAAAATTTACTAATTATTTAGCAACTTAGCAGTAACATTTATTTTCAGTATTATTAATTAGCAAACTAGCACCTATTACAGTATTGTATCAAGGTCACTATACGATTCCGAAAGAACATTATACTGGCTAATTATTTTCATTTCGGGAAAATGGCTTTTGAAAATTTGAGTTACATTATCATTGTATTAGAATTAAAACAAATCTATTAATTAGCACTTTGCCGCAGCACTTTATTATCTGCAATATTGTAACAGTATTAATAAAAATGTACTTGAAACATCCAAATAATTATTTTCCAACGAAATAAACATCGCGATCAAGGATATAGTTAAGAAATTTTGAAAAAGGTTTGGTTGCATTTTAAAATTATAAGCTTGTAAACGTAGGTATCAGCAAAATTTTATTCTCTTGAGAATAAAGTACCAACAAAAACTTTACGAAAATTACTTATTTTTGATAATGTTTTAAATTCGGGGGTTTTTTTTTACTATCAGAAAGAATTCTGGAAGTGCATAAATAAAAATACTTTCGTTAAAAATACGGGTTGAATTCTTTTATATTGAAAAAAACCGATGGGTTTGATTCTAAGATGGCGTGTGTCGTGATCAATTAAAGACGGGACTTCGTGCATCCAATCACAAATGTGGGGGAAATTAGAGCTCCCTTAAAATTATTGCATATATATATATATATCTTTTTTTTTCGCAATGAATGAACATGAACATACTGTAATAACGATATAAAACGGCGGGAGTAGAAATTTTCATTTTAGGGTATTGGAAGGAAAATTTTTTTGCCGGTTTTTGCCTAAAACAGTCCATACATAGCAAGGCTGCAAAATAAACAGTACAACATGTATCACATTATACAATCAAATATGGCAAGGATGGACAAGACAAACACCTCAATAAAATAATTTGTCAATAAAAATTGTCGGTACCCCTGTTGGTACTCTTGAGCAGAATTCTTCAGAAAGTCTTTATAATGTTTCATGCAGTTATTAGCTTTGTGTTAACACAAACTGGCGCCATACAAAGTGTTAGTAAAATTTTTATTAATCATGACACAAGCACCTTCAATCTTTGATATATTCTAACAACTGCCTTTGTTTCTCTATTTAATATTTCATATACCGTTTAGCACTGTATAAAGTATCCTCCTCGAATAATATCCTACCACATAAAGTACGATCCTCTCCACCAATAAAATAGCTGTATTCGTGAATAGTACCGGTACTATTCAATTTTAAAAATGGTGTTCTTGAATAAGACCATGGGTACTGTATACAATGCTAAACGGTAATTACCGGAATTTGGCTGGTGTCTTATGATTTCATTCGAGCTATTATTACAGGTGTGGCGCAACAAATGGCATGATACAAACTATTGGTTTGCTTATTACAGAACTTTGTATTTTTTTTTTATTGTTAATTTTCAAGCCATTTAAAACTAAATTAATGAACAGTTTAAACTTAATATTGTTTTTGAAATTATTTATCATTCTCATGATGACTCCGCAAACAACTAGAAGATTTTATAAGTGCACTTCATTTAATGATATTAATTGTGATATTATTACATCAATTAGAGATTTCTTCAATAGAAAAGGTAAATCAGAAAAGAAAAGCGGAAGAAAAAAACATTAATTACACTAAAAAGTTGCATTAGTCATTTGCTAATTTTTTAAATTCATATATGTTGAAGTATTCAAGATTCTTGTAAATAATCACTTTCGGTTTTAAACCTTTTACCATAAAAAGTTCTAAGCTCTGTTAAATTTTTTACGGGTTAATTATTATGTAAGCCAAAAATTAATCAATGAATAAAATAAAGAATTTGATTGGCCGGTTTTGATAGTACCGACAAATTGGATTTTCTGTTCATTCAATTGAGGGAGGGAGGTGCCTTTAATTAGGCTACTTGTTTAATGTTTGTTCATTACTAAGTGCAGATTAAGGTTGCATCCTTTTTTAGTTGGAATTGTTATTAATGTTAACAGTAACGCTAACCATAAATTAACTAAGAAATTCCGAATTCTATTACAAAATAATATCGTACGTACAGAGTTTCTAATTAAAACTGTTAAGAAAAAAAAATTCATACAAATTTTACTACATATGCAACCAGTTTGTTTATCATATTTAATTTTTTTTAAAAAAAATAATGGCAAATCCATTCATTTCCAGTTTCGAAGATGCTATTTCATGCCAAAATATTTATTCGATTAATTACAGATTTTGTTTATATTAATAATAAAAACAAAGTATATGAATGTAAATGGAAAATACGATCTTATGGTCGTTCTTAAAAATCTAGTCGTTAATAGCAACCATCAAATTGTTCAAGAGGTATTTGTTTAATTTAATAGCTTTAAACGAAAACTTTATTCTTAAGTATAAAAGTTCAAGTCTTTTTAGCTTGAAAATTTACAAAAGTTAGCTCTTATCCTAATATTATTCAGTTTTATGGCATAACAAAAAGTAAGTGGGAATATTTCCCTGATACCACTAGTTATCTCCATACTATAATATTCCGTATGATCATAATTTGGAGATTAAAATTTGTAATAGCTTAAGGCCAGAATTTCCAAACCAAACACCAGAATTTATTTTACAAATTATTAGTTGTTGTTGGGATGCGGAGCCTCCAAAGATCGAAGAATTAAATGATGAGTTAATTTCACTATTAACGAACTTAGCATTTATTAAATAATATGATAATTAAGTAGTAAGACATTTATGAATGTACGTATTTTAAATAACCAAATACGATTAAGTGTGAAATTTAGGGTTTAGTTAATAAAAATAAAATGCCACAATAGAATACATTTATGCGCTTAAAATTAAATTTACTAGCTTATTTATTAACCATGAATCCGGACATCCTTTTCATATTATATTTAAAATTGACCCAAGCTCTATGTACCTATTTGAGCAAGTTCTAAAATTGATTTTATTCTATTTTTTAAAATGGAAGCGACATAATATTATCCAAATTCGGATTCTGCTTTTGTCCTAGATTTTTGTTCCCTCACCCATCCTCGTTTATTTCATCTTTACCGAGGAGAATTTATTCTTCTATTTTATTGTTAAGACTAAGATTTTTAAATCCATCTGGTGTTTTTCTATGAAGTTCAAAAAGCGCGGTGCATTTTTAGAGTTAGAGGGTTATTCTTCATAATAATTATTAAAAACCATTTTGATTAATTCGGCAAATTTATCGTTATTGCCTATAAGATTAAAAGTAATAAATTAAAAACTCAAAATCAATATTAATGCATATTTAAAAAATTAAACCTACATTCTTTTCCGTATCTGAACTATTCGGTTAAAGAATCAACTTTTCAGTATAGCCGATTATTTTCTAGATTAACATTTACTTGTTTATAATAAATAGAAAATAAAATTAAATATACAACGTACCATGAAAAGGTAATTCAATAATGAATTTTCCAATTATTTCATGAAGTCTCTCAACTCTTTCATAACATTTATAGTTGAATTTTTTTGGAATGGTCAAATCAATTTTTTCGGGTGCCGATAACGAAGTTTAGTAAGAATTCCTATAATAGAATTTATGTCGGATATTGGTAATCCTTCTTTCCATAGGTTTTTGTCAATATTAACTTTCACTCTTTTTTTTCGTAATATTATGCCCAAATAATCTAGTTCTTCAGCCTTTTTTTAATTACAAAAAAATTATCATACAAAATTATATAATGTCAATTATAAAAAATAAAGATAAATTACTCACAAGTTCTCTTTTTTTACTTGATATCCGAAATTAAATTAGCAACTGTTCCTGGCTAAAATATTTTGAATGTTTTAGTATTCAGCATAATAATTGATAACAAAAGTGTCATCTTGCCTACATTGTTAAATAAATCCAGCTTATTTTTAAGAACTTGAACCTGGTTTTAAAAGTTCTCATTCTCTTGTTCTAAATGTTCTAAATTGAGTCCAACATTACTACCGCTTCTTAGATTATAAACTCTTTTTGTTTAAAAAAAGAAAGTATAAAAAAAAAAAAAAAGAATCAAATAATTAATATAAATAAATAAATATCCATTTTAAAATAAGACGTATTTTATTTATGTGGCACGTATTTTTCAAAAAAAACAACAAATATTCTAATCCACGTATTTATGTGCTAAATTTGGCTGTCACTTTGGGTGTAGATCAACATACCACACGCTAATATTAATTGGCTAACAGCCGAGGATCTTCAAATTTTTGGCCTGCATTACATAATTGTTACTAAATTCTGGCCAGAATTAACTTTTTAATTTTTTTATTACAAAAATAAAAATTTTTAAAAATAAGCCCACATTATGGTAAATTGACCCAGAAACAATTTTCACTTAATGGGCGGCTGCGATTTGAAGGATAATTTTGAATTTCTACATTGTAATATGAAGCCAAGCGTAAAACATCTATATTCAATATAGAGGTTGATAATATCACAAGATTTTGCAGTCCCGCGAGATAGGGACGGTGAATAATATCGATTTGATTTTGCAAAAATATCAATCGGTATGGGTACGTACACATGTATCTGTATGTACAGGTGCACGACTAATAGTATTGTTTGAAATCGCAAGTCATATATGTACTTATGTAAATAAAAGACATTCGTGATTTTGTGGTAAATTTTGACAATTGATTGATATATGAGTGTCACTAAATGAGAACTCTTAATTCTAAAAGTAATTATTAAGTTTTATAACATCTCTTTTTATAATTATGAGTTCATTGCGACATTCATCAATATAAAAAGCTTAAAAAAAAAATATGTTGGCATCTTATAAAAAATGGGCATAACATTCTAACATATTATTGTAACATTGTATTCTTGTTATGTCGAAGTCATTAGTTCATGCACATACGTATATTGGAAAGCTAATCAACTGGATACAATCACCATGAGAAATGATTATGTCAACAATGTATTCTATTATTAGTCAAGGGACTTTTTTATCCAATCAGATAATTAAGAACAGTCACACTTAGTGTTGGCGGTAAAATTACTGAATTACGGCATTCTACCATATGGTAGAATTAATTACGGCACAGCACCCAATTGCCGTAAATATTATGTG